CCCCAAAACCCCAAAACCCCAAAACCCCAAAACCCCAAAACCCCAAAACCCCTTTCCAGTAGTCTTAGTTGAGGTACAACCCAAGGTAAATTATAAAAGTCTTCGACAATGATATGTTGACTAGGAAGAAGATTTTTAGAATTAAATACTTATAATTGGAGGAAGAGACTTTCCTGCCCAACCCTTACAGTTAGCCGAAGAGTTATCAAGAAATGTATTATAGAAGAATAAGGTGAGCAGGGTAAGCTTGCTTCAGGTGAAGCTACTCCTCCATGAATTTCGGAATGTCCGTTGATGGGATAAGTGTGATAGGGAGAGACGGCACAACAAAAGAGAAGTCTTCCTTCTGAGCATTCTCATGGAAACCCATAGCCTTCAAGCGAGACTTCAGCTCTTGTTGCTGCCTGACTGATTCAATACTAGGACCTAAATCTAATCTTTTCATATTATAAGATTCTCTTTTGACGAGATTTTTAGGGGATGATGACTTTTTAAAACGATTTCTTTTGGAGCGAGGTTCAGGGCTACAGCGATTCCTAACATCTCTGGCTCTTCCTTTCGCTCTTTTAGAACCATGGTATCTTTCAGAGGTTTTAGAAAATTTATTGCAAAAAGATTCGCAAGAGTCTGTGCTGTTGTCAGAGCGAACTCTTTTACGTAGAGGTTTAAATAACTGGTGAGACTTAGTATTGTTGTTGATATAACTTTGTGGCTGTGAACCAAAACCCAATTTGGGAGGTGAAATATCGATATTATCTAAAGTTCCTACTTCAGGAACTTGTGCCAAGAGCATTTGGCGGACAGGAATAATTACAGGCAAGCTCTGTTGAATCCTAGTACCTTGTCTATGAGCTTCATCTTCTATATATCTTTCTTGCCTCTGAGAATTGGATGAAATAAGCGGGACCATTTGGCTCCTGTTAGAGTTTAGCCTCGCTGATACATAGTTTAGAGAAGGAACTGAATCATTGCGATTAAAGCCAAGAGGATAATTTTGGTTTCTTGATCCAGCAAAAGAACTTGGATTAAAACCTTCTTCATATTGATAACTAACATAAGGAGTGATTTCACTCCTATGACAAAGATTTTGAACTTTTCTCGAGAAGTTGAGAGATGGGCTCAAGGCATTAGAATGACTACTAACTACAGGAGCAAAAATTCTTTCAGATCCATTAGAATAATGATGGCGCATTTGAGTAGCTTTCATGTTAGGATGGATATCACAATCACCGTACATGTTTTTTCTTTATAATTTCACTCAATTTATTATATTTGAAAAGGGGTTTTGGGGTTTTGGGGTTTTGGGGTTTTGGGG